GACGTCATGGCGATCGCTCGTATTGTTCCCTAATGATCGATAACTTACCTGAGTCAAGAGTCAACACTTCATAATTGAAAATAAGTCTTTATTGCTTCATAGTACCAAGTGGTGCCACATTTGACTCCCATAGGCCCAATATTTACTCATCAAATTATTAGCGACCTTGCGAGTCCGAATTCTCTAGCTAGAAAATGTCACGTGACTCAAAGGCGGGGAAACGTGGAAGACGAATATCGCCGCATGCAAGCGTTTATGACATCATGCCACGATAGTTTAAGCTAATTACATATTTACGCCTTCAGACAGACATCATTTCTATCATACCATGCGTCGACATCAACACGTAGCGGTGCAAACGTTACCAACATTCACTAGATAGCAACAAAATTTGTAATCATTGGACCTGGTCGAAACATTTTTAAATTTATCCCGATCTATAGGCCAAAGCTAGAAAAACCTTTAGAAAAAAACTAACGTCACAACGTAGCCAAGCTTTTCCTCTAAAAAACGTATGCACGAAAAGGATAACTCAGTCGACGTAGTTTGCATGACATCGTTGTCACCTTTGACCTGACAGGGGGACCGTCCATTATAAAAGGGGAGGGGTGTAAGTCATCCACACAGCAAAAGTTGCAGTATAAACACAGCAAAAGTTGCAGTGTAAAACACAGCAAAAGTTGCAGTGTAAAACACCAAAAGTTGCAGTGTAAAACACAGCAAAAGTTGCAGTGTAAAACATAGCAAAAGTTGCAGTGTAAAACACCCAAAGTTGCAGTGTAAAACACCAAAAGTTGCGGTGTAAAACACCAAAAGTTGCGGTGTAAAATTTTGTTCTTGTCGGCCACGGTACTAATCCTTTAAAGCAAGGACATTAAACAGAATAATGTCCTTGTTTGAAGCAACTATTTGGATGTTTCTGGTGAGAGATGAGGACAGTCAGCTTTACCTGTCTGTGCTGAGCACTCCACCCATGCTGACCCGCCCTACTCCCAAATGGTCCCCTCTGTCCCTGCACTT